AAACCCTGGTTTTTTTTTTGAAAAAATTTTGGGGGTGGGGGGTTCGGTTGGGGGGGGGGAGGGGGGGGGGGGGGGGGGAGAAGGGCCCCCCCCCCCCCCCCGGCTAGACACACCCCTATACACCAACTCACCTCAGGAGTGATGACATAATGTGCAGGTAAGTTCCTCATCTTCTCCATGGGTCTGTCACTCCACTTGATCATCATCCCGTGGTGCACCTCCACACAGTAGTCAAACACAGTACCACTGAGAGGAAGACTGATGGGGTAAGTGGCGCGGTACAGGGTCTCACGACAGAACTTGTTGAACTTACTGATATGCCTGGAGGAATAATAATAATAATAATAATAATAATAATAATAAAAGATACAGTAATAATTTGCATTATATTTAAAACACCTCATTTCTTTCATAACTCAGTAACTGCACAAAATTTTCATGTTTGTCATCCATTTAGATATTCAGAGAGATATAATTCTTTTTGATATGAGCTTTGAATCAATGTTCCATAATTTCTTTTTTAGAAACCAATAATACAATATTGATTCGGGTATTATACATACATTATCTGCTTTCAAATTGTACAGTTTAAGCAAGGAATTATCACATAAACAATTCAAACCACTGTTTTTTATGATAATAATAATGACACAAAAGAAATATTAAATTTTATATCAATTCTGCACACAAAATCAAGACATCCATTCAACTGTAATACAGTTAGTTATCATGACAGTTCTTTAAACATATTTGTCATGTACCTTTCCTGTAGTTGTCCTCCAAATCCCCAAATAAAAGCAAAGGCATACATGCTCTTCACCACATTGGTGTAGTTAGGGATGCGATCCTCATAACGTGAACTACCAGTTAACCTACTGGACCTCATATTGCTGTCTGCTCTATAGTCTGGGGTCAGTTTGGCTGGGGAGGCGGGAGGGGCATCATCTAAAAAAGGTTTTTAAAATGTATGTAGTCGTAAATAAGAGAATAATGAACAGAAATTAGCCAAGGTCTTATTACATGCTATAGATATGTAATATTTGTATGATGTCCGGTCTTTTTATAATCTTTTTGGTATCAAACAAGAAATGATGTTTTAGTAATCAAGTGATGGTCTGTAAGTGTTATGCAGCAAATGTTTTTGGTTGTAACAAGTGTCAGACTGGTAACTATTCAGAGAGCCATAATAAAAACTGGAAAAACACTAAAAATTTCACCACTTGGGGAGATCTACTGCCACCACATTATCTACCTGGTTTTTGCTGACCCTCTGCAGCGCTCTCAAAATCAGCCCTCAAGAAGTGGCGATCACAGAGCGCTGAGAGGATCCTGAGCAGTGACATCACTTCCTGTAACCCTGGCACTGACTGAGTATAGATGGCGCTGGAACGGTGCATGTCATTGGTCAAGGAGTAGGTGCAGTCATTCTCTAGGTACCTGATGGTCTGAGGGATGGTAGAACTGAAAAGGTCGTCCAGGATCTTCAAACTGGAAAACATCAACATATTCATCATCAGAACAAGCATATTAAGGAAAGTGCTGCAGAAATAAAAGTTTTTACAAAAGCTGAGGCACCACCAGACCTGTAGCCAGTAATTTCAAGAACGGTTCTTTATCTAAAAAAATAGACCTTCTACCGTGAAACCTTTTTGTTTCTAGATCAATTTTTACCAAAAGCCGACCTTTTCTAGACAGAAAGGGTGGTTTATTCAAATCCCGAGGTTCATTTGAATCCCACCAACCACCCAGGCTATGTGTCTGACTAGGAGCACATCCATAATGCAAATATTTATTCTGAATATAGTCAGAATTTCAGAATATTTGGGCTCAAATTCTGACAAGAATACTGATATTCAACATTAATATAATAATTTGCAATATAAGTGTGTGTGTGCAATGTTCACATTCACGTATTACAGAATTCAATGATAAAAGATTAAGTATAATTTAGCAAAGGAATTATATTAATACACCTTATAACATGTTTCTGTGTCTAATGCATATACCAAGATACATATACAATCATATCAGATACAAAATCAAACATGTATATACATTTGAAAATGAAAACAAGCAAATAAAATAAATTCCAACCCTTCTCTGAAACATATGCCCAGATAAGCCATGATCATGGAAGTACCACAGAAGTACCAGGACAGAAGTATAATGGTATTAATGTGTACCCAGCTACAAAGAACCAATTACCAACTGTTGAGAACCAATCAAGAGCAGTTGTTTTTGTAGACAGGCCATTCCCTATCCATTAAAAACACCCCTACAGTCCATTCTCACTGCTCTCCAGGGAACAATAACCCACACTATTGGAACATAACATATCAATTCATTAATTTATATTGCCATAGTGCTAACCAAGGTATTTCCTGGTGCCGCTGTAGTAGACTAACTGTTGAGGTGGGCCAGTAGTACATTGGCCGCATTCACAGCCAAAGTTGATCCACAGACTAATAGATCCGCGAACAGACAGATATATCTGGCCCACTTAAAACTACCAAGTAATCCCTGCGGTAAATCTATTTAGTGCCTATTACTATTAATGGAATATGAGTCAAGCTTTTAAGTGGATCTGCCACAGATCATCTTGTTCTGAATGTTCCCATAAAAGGTGCACTGGTACAATGGCTGTTAGCAGAATTCATTAATGGAAATGACCATTGCACTGACCAATATGTGTCTCCAAGTACTTTTCAAAATGGGTCAACTGTTTTTGCACAAGGGAATGGGCAAAGAAGGCGACCGGAACTGTTTATTAATTATTCAGATGTCCACTGTGGGTTAATTGATATACTTCCTAGCACCTATTTAATGAGAACATCTGTAGGGACTGTTTACATGGGCTGGCCACAGAGGAAGTGAATGGACACAATGAATGGTTTACTATAGAGGACACCTGTATGAACATTTTGTGCGGGAGAAGAAAGGTAAAGATGTATCATATTTTTCTATTTTGTTTAATACATTAGATCTATAATGCTCCATCATGCCATTGGAGGCATGGCGCACATTAGTTTCCTCAGTTGCCGCAGTATTCAAATTTTACTCTTATCATAATCATCAAGTAACAAGTTGAAAGTGTATACAAATGGCTAGTGATGGTAAAAAAAAAAAAAATCACCATCCATCCAACCAACCATATTTAAGATCAAACGCCTCTCAATTTCAAATAGTTATATCAGATGGGCCAAGAAACATGAAATCACTGACTGAAATAAAAGGTTTGTAGTTTAAAAAGGCTGGCTGGTAGAGTGAAAGATTCAACAATGTGAGTTTTTTTTTTCAACTAATATGTTCGGAAGATGGTGCTCAACCCATTGCCTTCATTTTCCTCAAAAATTATACCAATAAATAAATAAATAAATAAATAAATAAATAAATAAATAAATAAATAAATAAATAAATAAATGAATGAATAAATGAATAAGTAAAGTAACATCCACAATGAGAATAATTGTCTCTGAAGTTCTGGCAAACTTTAGGTAGTGTTCTTTATTTTTAGACAGATGTAAAAATTAAGTTACTACAAATATTGCTGTATATTGTTAGACATGAGTGGACACAAACTATTCTAAATCTTGTTAAGCCCACTTCATGGTAAAAGGTCACAATATTTGGTCAAAATGTAATCATCCACACACAGCCTGTTCAAAACAGGACCAACTTAAACTGAGATAATTTAAGTGATGTCAACAGATGACCAGAATGATGTCACAAGGGGGTTAAAAGTCTATGGTACAAGAGATCCTATGGGGGCACCTTTCAGAGCTCGTTTACCACTGGGTGGCACTGTGATGTCAGCTGGACTCTTTCCAGTTAAGGTTAAGACAGTTCTGAACGTGCTTCACAAAGCGTGGTCAAAATTATTACAGAAAAGATGGCACCAAAGAGAAAGATAAGCAGCATTAATGACCTGCAAACAATGATATGATTTGAGATCAATAAAAACAGCTGCATTTATAGATAACTCATCAGAGCAGTGAAGTGAAGTGTAATCATGTAGAGAGAAGCTGAAGGAGATGGATATTTGACTTTCTGTGGAGCTGCTAAATTTATAGAAGTGGATTACTGAAACAAGTAGGCAGAACACTTGTGTGTTGATTAAAACATGACACATTTACATACACACACACACAAGTATACTCTAACCTGAACATGCAAACTAGATCTTGATATTGGTGCCATTACCAAACCAAAGCTACTGAGAGTGCATGGACATGCCAGAGAGAAAAAGTGAGTTTTTTATTGCTTTTGAAATTTTACATTACTAGTAATTCTTTAGTAGCCACTTAATTGACAACATTAACTAATAGAAGAAACTTAAAATTAATCAAAATCAAAATGTGTGCAGGACTACCATGATGGGATATGTACATGTATCACAGAACAGGAGTCAGAGAGCCTTCAGCAACTTCTTTGTACAAACTGGCTATTGCCCATCTCTAGTTGCTCAAGTATTAAGATGACTTTTCACTCATTTGGGGAGATATCACTCATCTTTCACGTGTCACTGATGAACACATTTGTTGGTAATTAATTTTTGTACATTAAATGCACTTACATACAAAACTTCAAAATTTGTACTGTTAGGAATTTCATGTTAAATGTTACTTATATAGTACATAAAATATATATCAACTGCACTTGTATTTCCAACCCTTTTTTCAATGTCTACTTTTTCTCCAGCACTCACAGTAATTTCCTAGAATCTAGAGCATCATCCTATGATGATCAGTTAATTGAACAAGTTAATATGCAACCTTGCAAACTTGTACCAATTAAAACTGCATGCTTTCATGAATATTTACTGACTTCATTTGTATTGAATACAGGACAAATCCGGTGAGCACAGTAAATAAGTATGTCTGTAAACCAATGCGTTTGTTCCCTAAGAGTGAATGATCAAAACTTTTACTGGCAAATTTCTTTTGCCATATTTCAACAGCAGAATAATAAATTGTAAAATTATTTTTAGTTTTTTCTAGCTCCAAAAATGGCCCTGTTCAAGATAAAATGTTACATCTGCAAGGCAACAACTATTCATCTTAGACATCTAGGCAATTCTCCTTCACTTTTCTTCTTATCAATTTCTTGAACCTGGAAGCCTGAATTCTGATTTTGAGTTTTCCTTTCATTTAAATTGGAATTGGAAATGTCACTCCTAAGGATCCACATCAATAATTACAACAGGAATCAATATCAAAAGTGAGGAGAACTGCTTCCAGGACACCAACAGAAAGAGTTATTGAACACAATTGTGCCAATTAATCATGAAATCAGAGCTGATAGTTGGCTCTTTTTTTCAATCACCACTAGCAATTATACGTAAGTAAGTGTAATGTGACCTAAGAGTACAGTAGCACTCTGCCACTATTTAACCAGTGGACAATCATGCCCGGAAATCATTTCTTAAGTTTTTGCCAATAAGCCATAATAGGTCAATCTATGTCCTAATAAACCAGAAGTCAGTTAGCTTGGTTCAGAAAGAAGGCATTTGGAACACATAAATGGAAAGCAAAAGAAACAGTTTCCAGACAGATATTTATAGTACCAACCACTGACTAAGCCTGCATCTAAATTTAACATATGCATTTTGTGAATTGTTCTGTTAGATCTTTTATTTCATTTTTGCCTTAAAAGCTATAATAACTACATATAATTCCAATAAATGGCATATTTCCAACCCTGTACAGTACTAACTACATCACTTAAATAGTGTTACACTGTAATGTGTTGATTAGGCTACAGCATTAAATGACGTAAGATAATATCCTTTCAGCTTTCCAACATCCCTTGCCAATATTCTGATGATTATATTTGGGCTACATTTTGGCTTGTTGTATCAAAATGATATAATTTATCATGTATATCATCTACATTAGAGCACTTCCAGAACTGCATTAACTGGAATCCATTTTTTCAGCTATCTAATAGTCCTCACATGGCTGCTCAAGCTTACTAAATAGATATTGTTAAATGCAGGGTTCTGTATCTATACAGTAACAAAATACTATGACAGCTGAGGACTTGTTGCAATGGCTTTCAGCTGTACCCTATAATGTATATTTGAGGTGGTCTTTGTTCTACTAACTGGCACCCAGTGTGGGAGGTGTTGAAGCTGAGGACAGCTTCATTTATTTTTGTTCCTAAATAGCATTTCCACCAAGGAATCCAGAGACTAATAATACACACATACATGTCCTATGCTTGGCCATATCCACCTGATGATGTATTGCCAGAGTATCTTTGTTCTAAAAGGTCCTAATTACTTTATCACTGAACAAATGGAAAACAAGAACACCCATAATCTCACAATCATTAATAACAATCTTCTATCTGAGCTGGAGGTACTTAGTAACATTACTATAACCTGTATTACCAGGAGTTTCCTTGTTACCAGTCAATATATCATTTCTGGATTATACTTGAGGGGGGGGGGGGGGGTACCTAAACATGTTTTCTACAACATAATTATCTATAACAAGTCACTCTGTCATGGAGGACTCCTTATTAACACTGTAGTCATATCACAGCACCCTGGGTATCACAGCACAGACTGTGACAACACATGAACTCTGTTCTCTACTGTGTGATAACACTGTAGTCATATCAGAGCACCCTGGGTATCACAGCACAGACTGTGACAACACATGAACTCTGTTCTCTACTGTGTGATAACACTGTAGTCATATCAGAGCACCCTGGGTATCACAGCACAGACTGTGACAACACATGAACTCTGTTCTCTGTTCAGAAACTATGGCATAGTGTGTGTGTGTGGTTTATTAGGTGAGTGTCCAACATGTTCTAAAAGGCAGGATGTGTTCTTCATGTACATTAAAAACTTTAATCTTATCCAACACTAAATACCCTCTATTACTCTCTTTCACTTATTTACATTTATTACTCTCTTTCAGGAATTTCATCAGTTTTGTTAGGCATTCAAAGTTTAATATCACAGTTTCTCCAACCACCACAACTCAAAGTTCAATTAAAACTAATATGAACATGGCTTTATCAGGGCTTCTGACTTCCAGTGATGAGTAACAATAACTCTTGCATCATGCAAGTACAAACCACATAAAAAACATTCTGTTCATTAATCCCTTAATCATTCCTCCCCAACCCCACATAGTATTCCATGGGTAACTGTACCAGAAGACAAATGACTCGATGAGACATCTACCTACACACTGCCTGGAATGCTACAAAGAATAATGCCATAAAAAACTGTATTCCTAATTACGATTGATGCTTGACAAGACAAAAAGTTTCCGGGTATAAATCTTATCATGCAATTTTGATAAAATAAAAGCACCCAGT